CCTGACATTTTATTTTTGTTTATGTTAAAGGTCATTTGTCTAAATCAGCCCTTGTTTAGTCCTGAAGGTTGAAACTATTTCGCGTGACCGTGTTAAGTTTCTGCTTGCTTCACATTAGCAACCGCATTAACGTAACCATGGCAGCGTCACTCTGATGAAGGCTGAAATCATAGTTTCTCCCCGCTGACTCATGTTAATTATCATACTTTTCAACATAAATACTAATTTTAGAGTAAAACTATTAGACTTATAATCTTTGGCTGTTCTACAGAAACATGGGAACACGTTGCTTCCTCAAACGGAAGCTCCCAGTGTCCCAGATCCAGGTCTGGGCTGCTGGGAGCTTCCCATGATGCTCTCGGTGTTTTTACTCACCATTTGTGGAAACATTTAATCAGTAGTTATTATTAATCTCCGGCTCTCTTCCACAGCGTGTCCTTATTGTATTTTGTGTTGAATAAATAAAATGTAATTTTATTGTGAAGGAAGGAGGCTCCATGATCTGTAACATGGATTAGAGGGCTGGTGTGTGACTGTGATTCATCGCAGGTCTGCCTAATAATCTGGACACTGTAATGTAATGCATTATTTTTTATAAAGCACTTTTCTAGTCTTACTGACCAACCAAAGAACTTTAGATTGCAAGTCACATTTTAACTGCATTGTGTGCACTTTGAGGACTTTATCCGCCTCACATCCGTAGCCAGATTTTCCAGTTAACCTAACATTTAATCCATGTTTGGACTGTGGGAAGAGTCCCTGGAGAAACCCGCACAGGGAGAGCGTACAAACTCCCCGGAGAGGCCACAGCTGGAGGTGTGTGGCCATGCTGAACACAGAGCGACTGTGTGCTCGTCATACTGCGCTAACCTCCTCTGGGCTGAAAATAAAAAGATGTATTCAGTGATGTTTGTCGTTGGGATGATATTTAAGAAAGATAAGAGTCGGTTTCTAATAGGCAACAACTGTTTTTCAGGTCCTTCTCTTATGATTGAAGCTGACATTGTCATGAGAGGTCGTGATCCCAAAGAGCCAATCATGGCACATCCCCCTGATACAGACAGTGACATCACTCTGAGGGAATGGCTGGAGGGAGTGAAAGAGTACGGCAAGGGGATAAAGCTGGACTTTAAGAGGTGAGAGGCAGGTTCTGTTCCACCAATGCTGTGTGGGTCTGTGTGACGCTAACGCTGAGCTATACTCTCCACATAGCATGGAGGCTGTGTCAACATCTTTAGTCCTGCTGCAGGAGGTGCTGACTGAGCCATACCGTCCTGTGTGGATCAACGCAGACATCTTCTCGGGTCCTGGGGGGCAGATCGTACCTCTGGAGCATCACACCTTCCTCTCTGTTGTGACTCATCTTCCCTCACACACTGTGCTGTCTCTGGGCTGGACTACAGGATGGACTGCTGGGACAGATAATCCAGGTAAACATCACCATTGCCTTTTTGTACACTGAGAACTCAATTTTATTGATAATACAAGAATAATATCATGTAAACAAATGTATTCAGATTATGGCTGGTGTGGGTATCGTCACTGATTTCTGGAATCGATTCAATTCGATTAGATTTGAATCGGGGAAATTTTGCCTCGGACAGTCAGAAATATTATAATTCTGATCACTTATCAGAACATATCTATATTTTTATATCTATAAAAGCAAAGCTGACACGTTTGAGACTTGATCAGAGGTGTGAGCGTCACAGCAGACGCCTTTGTGTCAAAGTAGCTGAGGATCAAACAGAAAAACAAAGTTACAGAGGTTTGATTACAGACACAACTGAGAGTTTTGCAATTTGTGATCATTTTAAAAAGTTTACATTTCTTCAGTATTGAGCAGCAGAAATGCGTCTTTCTTGTCAGAAGTCATTTAAGTAAAAAGAAAAACCACAGCGCTGTAAACAACGGTAGACTGGTAATGAGCAAGCATACGGGAAACTGTTCTTAAAGTACACGGAGAGAGAGAGAGCTGTGCAGGAAGTGTGATTGTATCGTGGTGGAAGCAAAGCAGCAAAGTCAGAGTGAAGTCATGACGATATTTATCTGTAGTTTGGATCTTCTTTTGCTGCTGGTTCAGTCAATGTTGTTTGGAGAGAGATAAAACCTGCAGCTTCTGAATCTAGCACGTGAACACAAAGC